CCCATTTGACACAACTGAAGGGTTTCCAGTTAGGTGGGGAATGCGCCCTCCAATATCTCATCCTTCCCAGATGTCTTTCAGGACAGGGGAAGAAAAAGCCCACAGTGATGCACATTCATTGAATGCACCAATGCTCTAATGGAGTAAGGAGAAGTTAATTACATGCTGAAATGCAGAAGCAAAAACAAAATGTGTTGGCTGTTAAACCTTCTTCACCTACATGTGGTGTTTTTTCTTTCTACTTGTTAGCAAGGTTTTTCGCCTCGACTTGTTTCTTTGCACAGTCTGGGCACTGATGCAGCTCAAATGCTAAAATGCTCTAACGGGGAAGTACATCCAACACACAGCACACATAAAACGAAAAGACTGCGATTGCAGTCGTCATTGCTCTGGCTTCTGTGTTAGCGATACTTTTTGGGGGTCTGCGTATAAACTGGTTGAGGAAGTGGCTGAGAAAGATGTTTCCCCCTGCCACGAAGGCTAAGAACTGGGCTTGCTGTTCTGTACTCAGTCCAGGTGTGCCACCTTTTATAGCTTTGCAGAAGTCACCTGTGTGAAGAGAGACAGAGCTCATGGCTGTCAATGCAAGAGGCACTTATTATAACACAGCTCCCTAACAGAGACCTAGAGACCCAGAGACCCAGAGAAGGTTACAGGAGAACATTATCAGTGCTGATGGACCTGGAGACAGTCTGCTCAACGCTGCTCTGACATACTGTGAACAGCTGTGCTGCGCCTCAACACATCTCAGGTTAAAAGAGCAACACAGTGAGCAGAAAAAGGCAATTTCCTCTCATGCTGGATCAATCACTTCCATTCTACTGTCTGCTTTCAAAGGCAGCATCTGAGCTCATCCGCATCTTTCAATAACCACAGCTACACCCAGCACCCAGCCAGTGCAATTAATGACACAGCTGTTTAGAGCCTGATGCCAGCCAGATCTGCATCTCCTGACATCATTAAACTGCTGAGGAGTCTCTAAACAGTTTGTGCCTTTTCTAAAACAAATTGTAACAGGCAATGGAAAAAGCATGACTTTTCAATATATATATTCATCTAGGTTGAGTCATGTACCCACACTGAAGAGCATGCGCTCTTTCATCACAACCAACAGTGCCTCCCTGGAAACCTGGGGCTGACTGGAGGAGCAGGGCGTCACATAGTGATGTCACCGAGTGATGTCACTGTGAGCCTGCGGGCTCCAGGTATCTCACAGGAGTCACTGTTTTTTTGGCAGCCAAGAGGACCCTGGGAATCCTAGTCATAGCTGGCTGGTTCTATGACCCAGGTTCGAGCCTGTAATGTCTGGACTTGGGAAAGATTTTCTTGATCATTATTGCCTCCTTTCATGACTGCATTTTTGCACCCTTTTCCTGTTTAACATGAATTTAAAACTTCAGGAAACAGGACACAATGCACTTTTCTCTAACTGTAAAGATGCAGGAACGTATTTAAACACATGAGAAGGTGGGTGAAGAGCCAGTGATGTGAAGGGTGGTGTAACAGATTAATCCTTCTTAATTTTCTAATTACTGATTCATCCCTGTTTCTCAGTCTCGAATTGAAATGTTCTCTCTTTCCCCTGAGAACAACAACAACAACAACAACAAAAAAAAAAAACAGTACACGATCCCGTATTTTCTCAGGAAACGGGTCCAGATCCGAGAGACTGTGTGGCAGATGGAAGACACCTGGAGAGACAGACAGCCGGGAAACGAGGAGGTACTTACAGAAGAGGACAGTTGACCGAGGGAAGCACAGCAGTGGGAAGAGGAAAAGAAATCAGGTGATAAAAAACACGATAGAAAAAGGACCGTTACTGACAAGCCCCAAGGAGCAGACAGTAAATACAACAGCAAGGGCCCCCACATGGAAGGAAAAATGAATAAGAAAAATGAAATCACTTTGTCAGAATGGGCATTTCCTCGGGGCTCAGATCGTATTGCACTGGGGCACAGCGCTTCTCTTCCATGTGGGCGGGGGAGGGTTAAACTCGTCTGTGTGTTACAGGCCTGAGGCCGAGGACTGAGAGAAACCTTCTACTCACTTACCTAGCTGATAGGGAATGTAACACAGTGAGCACGTTTGAAAACGGAGAGCCAGTCCTGTCCTGTCCTGTCCTGTCACGCAGGATGGACAGCCGCCTCAGGGTGGGCCGCAGGTCCTGTCCAGCGGGACCGAGGGGCTGGGCCCGCTGCGCGCGGTACCCACGTCACCGCCGCCGCGCCTGAGGCCCTGATGGCCACGCTCGGATCTGTCAGGCCCTGTGCCTTAGCAGGCGACATCCATGAAAGCATCCCATTTTCTACCAGCTCCTTAGCAATTAGGCGGCTGGCTTTACCCTCTAATCTGTGTTTTTGGCGCTGTGAGCGACAGCGTTTAATGGTACATTAGACACTTACTTTGTGCTGAAAGCAGAAAATAAGGGCTCCTGCCTGTGCATTAGAAGTGTGAAGCATAGAGAATGCACATCGGCTCCATTAAAAACAGATTTTTTATTGCCATTTTCTCAGTTTTTTGTTTAGCTCGCCGAAAAAAACCCCAATATTTCTCCTGGCTTGCAAGATGTAATTTTGGGAATTATCTTGAACACCGCAATTCTATGTAAGGAGCTCTGTGGCGGTACGAGGCAGGTCTGGGCTGAGCAATAGCTGTCCACGAGTCAGGGACACTTCAAGGATCCCTGTACCCTGGAACCATTTAAAAACATAGACTCCCCAGCTTCTCTTCTGTTTCTGATAGCGGCAGCCCAGGATAACCACTGCTATAATGCGTCTATGATGCCTACACATCCTGCAGTACTGATCGCAGGCTCACTAGACCTTGCCTGGCTTTACATAAAGGCAGCTGCAGGCCTGCAACACATAACACACACACAAAACACACAACACACAACACACCTGGTAGGAATCAGCAGCACAAATCGGAAACAAAAACCACAAAGAACGACGCACGACTGACATGCAAAACAGGGATAAAAGATGCACCCAGATTGTTACAGATTCCTGCTGCTTGTGCAGCCTCCTGTCACTGGAGCTGCTTGTCAAGGAGAAGAGCTGCCGGTCAAGTACGGGAGACAGGAGCTCAGGCTGTTACCTTCCGCGAGAAAACAAAAGCTACCTGTATCTGTGGTGCATCTTTAGACTGGGGCACCGATGCACAAACACGGACACAAACACAGACACTATACTGTTCCTTAGCACTAGATTGCGCCCGTCGTGTTAGCGCACTGCATTAGTCTCTGCTAGCAGCCCTTTTTTTAAACAGCTTCTGGATCTCAGGGGGGTTGGCTTACTCTGGGTCACCTTCATTGGACTGCAATGACAAACTAGGGGTGACCCGTCCCGACTCCGCAGAGCCACAGCCCTAGACTAAACCTAAAACCTTGGATCAATTTAAGTCAGCTGTAAGGAGTGACACCTAGATCTGGAAGGCTATATATTGTCTTAGGCTTTAGGAGTCGAAAGGTCTTGGTTGTTGATTGTTGACAGTGGTCAGTTATTCTGTGATTCATGCCTCAAAAGTTACAAGTAAACCTAAGATGCCTGGGCTGGACTGTGGCCCTACAGGACCTAGATTGGCCAAGCCTGGGCTACACCTTGAGTCCTAGGGGTGGCGAGTGCTCAATCTGATGTCTAATATGACAAAACCTTCACAAACGTGTAGGTATATACTGTAGGTATAGACCCTGACTCAAGAACAGTCACTCTGTCGATGTTCCGTTTTTCGTTTTGTAATAGGTTCAATGGGCTCAAGAATAAATATCATTTTGTTTTCTGAATCACAGAAACCATTCATTCTGTTCAGTCTTTTATTACCGCGGTCTTTATAGTAAAGGTAGCAAGGGGAGCAGCTCTACTTTTCTTTCAAGTCCGTCTTGATAGACTAATCAGCCTAGTAAGCACAGACTGATTTAAACATGACAGCACCAACACAAATCAAAATGAACTCAGGCTAGTGCAGAGCTAAGATTAGTTCATCAAGGATTATGCTTTAATCAGAGCTGTACTGCATCACAAAAAAATTAACTAGGATTAGTAAATCTTGGATTCAGAAAAACGTATCTAGATCTCAGATTTTATTCGTGATTTATTATTTTTTACAAGAAAAAAATAATATTTAAAATGCCCAACGTGACCTGCTTCTGCGTAGTTTCTGACCAGGCTGTCAAAAATAGACTCTTTTTAGAAGAATTTAGAATCACCAATTATTTTTGTGAGGCCTATCCAGTTTGGGAGAGCCAGTTGTGTGTTTTTCATGACTTGACTCACAGCTATGATCCCCATGAGCACACAGGGAGAAAAAGGAAGTGCAGACAGATTCCTCTGCCCCGCCCACCTTCCAGCCAATCATCTTTTAACATGCCACAGGCAGCACTGCCCCTGTACCTGAGGATCAGCGCCGATTGGAGGGCAGGTATGTCCTTCACAGTCAGCACCGCCCTGTCCCAGATGATCAGTGCTGATTGGAGGAGATCCCTCACCATCAGCACCGCAAGGCTGAAAGCAACCAGGAGCCCACAGGGGGTGCTAAATTGCCAAAAGAGCCTTGGCTAACTAATCCCACCCTACTGTGTTGCCTCAGTAGGTCACTCAGACAAATCTGCACCATTGCAGAGAGCTGAGGTAAGTGAGCTACTGAGGAAGCCTTTCACCTTTTCAAAACCCTTTCCTGGAAAATTCCTCATTGCCAGAAACACCGAAACAGCTTTTCAACTGCATTCTGATTTTTCTCCATAAAACCATTTCTTGGAGATTGAGCCAGGTGAGGAAACCTGTCAGTATGTGCCAGTTTAAACCAGGGCTCAAACTAGCAAGGTTCCAATTAAGTTCTTTACCTTTCAAATTAAATTCTTTACCATTCTTTACCTAATTCAATTATTTGCCTTTATTTTAAACCTGCATTCAAAGTCCTGGTGAAATGAGTTTACTTCTTTAATCCTGGATATCGCGATTCATTAAACATTGATTCATCGCAATCACTTGTTAAACACAGGATGTAATTTGAACCTGGTGCATTGCGATTAAAACTGAATCCTTGATGTAACCTGGTTTTGTGGCTAAAGACTATGCTGGTATAGAAGGGCCTATAGACCTTTCTGCTCTGTCAGACCTGAAGAGCACAGGAAGAGGAGACCCTTTAGTAAACTTGCTTCACAACAGCACTAAGACACCAAACACCCTGGAACCAAGCCTTCTGTGTCTATGCTCCAGTGGCATCTAGTACTGCCCGGTTTGACTGGTGCCCTGTGGGAGTTTCTACAGTCCTGGTTTCCTCTATAGCAGTTGGGCTTACACAGTTGCAAGACTTCTTTTTGCAAATGCATTTAGACTGTATGCTATCTTTATCTATCGCTGGTTAGAAATGCGTCATTATTTGTTCACACGTAATTATAAAAGGGCAAAAGAAAACCCCGACTGGGCCTTCATACAGCATTATCATATTCACAGATCCCCGTGTTTGTACAGCAATACGGGTTTCCTATCCAAGGAGAAAATTTCACTGCTCCCATTAAGACAAACAGCATGCTAAAGCCCGGAAAAAAGTCAGGCGCCATGTCTCACACACATTTCTTCCAAGGCTAACAGCACATGCCCGGAACAACGCCTTCCTGCACACGGCAGGGACGTACAGAGGCCTGGGATAATTCTGGGAAGAACGGAAAAAGGAAGTGAGCTTGTATGACCCCACCCAAGCCCCCACCTCAGGCTACAGGCTACACGCTACAGCAGGCAGCAGACACAGTACCATGTCTCTTATAGATGGGAGGCTTCCTGTAGATGTTTGGGTCTCCTGTCGCTGGAGATAAAAAGAAAGACAAACGAGAAGTGAAATACGGAGGAAGAAGCAAGAGCAGAGCACAGAAGGCGAAGGGGGCGAGAGGTGTTGCGCCTACCCGTTCCAAAATGTTAAGAACAGTTACAGACGAGATGAGATGAGGCCATTCAGCGCATCCAACTCGTTTGGTCTTTAGTAGCTAATTGAAAATCTCATGACCTCATCTATCTTTTCTTTGAAAAAATCCCGTGTGTCAGCTTCAACAACATGGCAACTTTGTTCCACACCCCCACCACCCTTTGTGTAAAGAAGCGCCTCCTCTTCCCAGTCTTTAACTGTTCAACTCTTGGCAGTTTTTTGGCTTTGTTGTGGCGTCCCCCACCTTGTGCTGGAAACTGCATGTGGGTCCACTGCATGGACTGAAACGATCCTGGTGAACTACGCCCTCCCATCAAGACCACGGGGACAATACAGTGCAGCAAAAGATGGACAGCTTAACCTCCCCCTGCTGAGGTCTTCTTGAGGTGCAAGCAGTTCGAACCCTGCGGTGTGCCATATCATAAAGCCTCATTGCTTTGTAAGTGGGAAACTATTCTGTTATCACGGAAAACTGATTCGCTGATTTAGAGTGACTAGATTAAAGTGGAACTGCAGTCCCAGTTTCTCAGACCTGTTATTAAATCTCAGTAACAAAATAAATTGACGGTATAGAAAAACTTGACAAATTCTGAATTAAGCACAAAATTGGGAAATTTGTGAAAGTCATGTTATTGCAAACCCCTGGTCTTGCCACGGGTGAGAGCTAGAGTTCCCATGAATTACGACATGGTGTGGCCCTTCCTGCTCACTAGTCACTGCAATGACTGATGTACTGTGATGTATGAGCAAATAAGCACAGGTCGTGTAGCTGACATTTCACCGCAGGAATGTTCTAACGTGACTCTGCATGCAGAGTTAACAAGTCAGTAGTATTTGCCGGCAAAACCGTCTCGAAGTCGAGAGGAATATTTCTATTGGATTAAAGAGATGTATTCACAAGCCTGCTTGTTTACAATGTAATAGGGCTGCAAAACATCACTGGAAGTGCTCTTGCCTCACTCTGAACATGGCGCTGCACATACCTGGATGTTTAGTCTATATTGTGATGTAAACTGGAGGATTTACGAGTTATGGTGTACATTTGACTTTTACTGTGTTTTGAAACATTTTTATCGATGCCGATTCTTTCTAACACCGAGATATAAAAATAGTGCTGCAGATTAAATAAGAAACCCTTTCAATAAGAAACTCGGCCTCTTTGCTTTTGATTGCTCACATAGCACTAAATCTTAACAAAAACACGTCCCCCGAGGAATAACAACAGCCAGGAATGAACGGTTGCTGGGAGCACCTGGGTGCCCAGTCTTGGTTAGATGAGGCTCGGCCCCAGGCTGCAGGACGGTATGCTGGGACCCCCCTGCAGATTGGGGAGCGACCCGGTGCAGCTGTACAGGTGGGGCTGGGCGGGAGAACGTGTAGGAGAAGAGGCTTGTGTCTGGTCTAGGCTTGCACCTGAGGACATGACGTCGGGAACGAGACCCGGCTGGGGCAGCTGAGGTGGGGCTGAACTTGGCTGCTACCCGCCGCAAGCACCTAATCAACACTAAGCGCCGCTGCACGAGGTAACTAATTACCCCCAGCTTTCTACCATCAACTTACTTCCCATTTAAACCCTCACTTCCCATCACACTGTGCCCGGTGTTGGTCTCTCTCTCTGGAATTCATACCTCGCCTTCGCTAAAACTTTTCTGAACAGAAACCACGGCTTTGAACCTGACCTCGTCCTTAGACCACGACTTCAGTCTCACGGGTCGGATCGTTATCGCCTGAAGAAATCTCTGATCTTCCTAGTTCTCCCTCTACTCCGCGCAGGGTCCAATTTATATTAAGGCCAGCCAGGTCAAACAGGAAGCTCCTGGAAGTTGGGTGTAAACCCCACCCCATCGGCTGAAAGGTGTTCTCTCTGGGCCGGGACACTCGCATTTCCAGCGCCAGGACTCGGAGAGCGATCCCCACAAGGCCAGGAAATGAAACCCGAACTCCACTACACAGACACCCTCAGACAGTCCATCTTACTGAGATGTCAATAGGCACTGATGATTTATCTCAGAACACTGAGATATCCCGTAAAATACTGCACTCGTTTTCCGCTCCATGTGCATGTATACACAGGGAACATGCAAGGGAATGTTGAGGGATTAGGGTTTAGGGTCACTCTAAAATCTCAGGATGTCATCTATCTGTTTCTTGAAAGAATACTGTGTGTCAGCTTCAACAACATGGCTGGGCAACTTGTTCCACACCCCCACCACCCTTTGTGTAAAGAAGCGCCTCCTCTTCCCAGTCTTTAACTGTTCAACTCTTGGCAGTTTTTTTGGCTTTGTTGTGGCGTCCCCCACCTTGTACTGCAAACTGCATGTGGGTCCACTGCATGGACTGAAATGTTGAGGGATGAGGGCTTAGGGTCACTCTGTTAGTCACGGGCTCAGATCCCCTGCACGAAAGAGCTAGCTCACAGCGGGGGTCTGCGTGAGGCGACAAGACAAAGTGAAAAGAAAAGGAAACGAATGGTGGTGGGAGTGCCTGCCTTTAGAGGAAACATGTGACGAGAAAGACAGAGAGACAGAGAGGAGGGGATGAGAGAAACAGGGGGCAGAGAGAGAGAGAGATCTGGCGGCCCAGTATGGGGTCTCCTGTCACAGCCTGAGGAACAGATTGTGAGCCTCTCAAAAATACTATCACTACCAGTAATTTACAACTAATAAGAAATTACAACAACTATTTTTGTCATAAACGTAAAATGTCTGTAAGATGTTTTGTCTGTAAAATGTTAAATAACTGAGAGAGGCAGAGAAGAGTGAGGGCAGAGAGAGAGGACCAGAGGCCAGGAACGCTGTTCACTGCTCACAGCTATGAGCCAACTTGGCGTGACCTGATGGAGGCCTACCTGGGATGTGGAAGTGCTTGGGCGCTTGGTACGCAGTCGGGGTGCTGGATCTGACGTCCACCTGGCTGTAATAGGGGGAGCTTCTGCCACTCTCCGTGCCTGGAGCCAGCCCGGCCAAGGACAGCGACAGAAGAGGAGAGTGAGGGGCAGGTCTCACATCACCACACACACTGAACCCCGAGATCAACCCCCCCCCCAAAACCAAATACCACTACATTTTCTGGCAGAATCTGGTGTGCCTCCTGGAAGGGGCTGAATTTCTCAAATCGAAACTCTCAGAGGACAAAACTCAATGAAAACCGGAACCTAAATGACAACACTTTTGTTTTAAAAAGCAAAATATGGCGGAGGTAGGGAGCTATGCTTCACTCAGAGGGGCAGGAATTGGGCACACAAGACCAATTGACCGCATGTGAAGGTCCGGTCAGTTCAGAGTGCCGCAGTTTCCATTTGCTCTCACCTGCGTGATCAGATAAGATTTTAACCCTGTGAGCTCCTGTCTGCTCTTGCCAGGTGGTGCCCGGGTTAAGGAGGAGTATTTCAGAGCTCAGGGAAGAGGTGCACTGCCCAGTCAGAGCATGAGCTGGGAATACCCTGTGATAGTCCTTTACGTGGACGAAGGAGACATGTCACATTACAAGAGGGGCACTGGTGGATGTAGTTCACTTATCCAAAACGCTTTAGCCTCGGGCCAGTGCGCCTGTGTAGGGCCCTGCATAATGTATCCCTAACTTGCAAATGCTCAGTGGCTTCACACATGCCTGCTACAGTATCTAAAATCCTGGGCAGCTAATTTATATAGGGATGGGATCTGTACAGCATGTGCTAGGATTCGACAGTGGGAGTGTGAATCATTTCGGGACCTGAGGAAAACGTGGGAATTTAGTGATTGCCTAGCACAAGTCCCTTCGGAATAAGAATCTGCATCCCAACCTGCGTAGGACTGAGAGGAGGGAGCAGTTAGCTGTCACACATCTTCTCCTTACGAGCTCATTGCTGTGAGTTGAGGACTGACGTTTTAGTCATGCTCTGGAAAGATAGAGTTTGGCTGTACTTTCACTCGTTACTGGTTGTGCACCAGCCGGCCCAAGCTCTGGCCAGATCTGTGACCTGCTGGCGTTATTCTGGGAAGATCAGCTAAGACAGGATATAAAAGTATTCTTTCAAACACGTTTGCCCCGCACACGTGCACATTTTCTCCTGCGAGCCTGCGTTAGTCACGTGCTAGACCCCTACAGCAATGTAAAAAAGGTAAGAGGGGGGACATTTCAGGTCCAGGGAACAGGTCAAGATTAATTGCAGACTGAACAGTACACAGGAGAAACGCAACATGGAGGAATGAACCTTTACTGGTTTCTTTGCAGCTGATGCATGCTGACTCAGCTCCCCGCTCGAACACACAGAGCATTGCTGTGCGTCCCATCGCCCCCCTGCCGCAGCAGTGCAGCCCCTGACTCACCGGAGCGATAGTAGTGCTGAGGGGAGCGAGGCACTGTGGGGGACATTCCCTGGCGGCTGTAGCTGGGGGAGTCGATGTATCCGGGGCTTGACGCTCTTCTCTGCCGCAGGTCGATGCTGTCATAAATGTCCTGTTGAGAACAGCCATTAGTGTGCATGCCTCTGTCCTCTGTGTCCCCTTTGTCCCTCTGTCTCCCTGTCCCTCTGGCCCCTCTGTCCCCTTTGTCCCTCTGTCCCCCTCTCTCCCTGTCCCCTCTGACACTCTGTCTCCCTGTTCCTCTGGATCCTCTGTCCCTCTGTCCTCTCTGTCCCTGTGTCTCTCTGTACTCTCTATCCCTCTGGCCCCGTGTCTCCCTGTCTCCCCTGTCTCTCTGGACCCTCTGGTCCCTCTGTCACTCCGTCCTCTGACCCTCTGTCCCCTGTGTCTCCCTGCCCCTGAGTCCAGAGGCTGAACAGCGAGTGCTCCTCTCGCTGAGCTTGTTCTCACGCACCAGCACAGCCCCTCATCTTCACTGGCCTCTTTTGACTGTTTTTTAAATCGTTTAAAAAGAAAGTGTTTGTATACAAAAAAAAAATCTGAGTGGGTATACAAAAGGTTTAAAAAACAGGGTTTTCTTCCTGTTTAGGTCGTACACCAGCAAATAAAACTCATGTCGTACACACAAGCTCACACACGGTCAGAAACACACACACCCACACACACACACGTTTCCTTACACCTGCACGGGCACGCTCACACACAGGCCTATACACACACATAAACGCTCACACACATGTGCTTACACACACTCTCTCACACACACACCTACACACACACGCTCACACAATACCTACACACACTCTCACACACACCTACACCCTCATGCTCACACACACAAACGCACACAAACACACTACCATCCACACATGCACACACACACACGCTATTGCACGCACACACACTACCATCCACACATGCACACACACACGCTAACGCACGTACACACACTACCATCCACACATGCACACACACACGCTAACACACG